GAAGCATGAATACCCCACTCAGACACATTATACTGACTCCGAGCGAACCAGTCCTTGTTGTACCCATTAATGCCGAACGCCAGGCAGGGACCAACAAGTACCATATTTTAACGTCTTTTGGTATGACGCGGTCGGGGATCGAACCCGCGACCTCCCGCTCTCCGGGCTGACGCTCTTACCACTACACCACAGAGGCGGTTTGTGTACAACGGTGATACACTCATTCGCTATATAGTTTGTGTATTACCTGTCAAATATGGGTGGGTAGCCTTGTAGTCAAAGCGTTAACGCCGAAGACCCGGGTTCGCTTCTCCACATTGGTACAATGTGTGAAGCTCATTTCTGGTGTCCCCTGCAGTGATGTTGCTGGAATATTGCTGATAGCGGTGCACACTCATTCACCCCTTGCCAAATAGGACCAAAGACAACAGAAGCGACTAGCCCGTAGAATCAGCTCACTGTCGAAACGTGTCTTAAGTTTTATTCCTACGTTGCACTCGGCAATAGCTTTTCAACAATGCACTCGGCATATGGCTATATGGCGGTCTGTAAATTATGGAGTCTCGACCAGACAATCCAGTGATCAACAGTATGAATCTCGATCTACGGAGTTGGGGAACCGATGACATAATGGCAACCAAGTCAGCCAGCCTGACCAGCCGATCCCTTTAGTCACCTCTTCCGAAAACACGGGTTACTCAAGATCAATTCTAACACGGATGTTCACGGGTTCCTACCTTTCAAAACAAGTGGTTGGTTAATGAGCAGCCACTGTAGGTAGCCTAGACGTTAACGCGTTCGCTTGTCTCATCGAATACTGGGGTTCGACTCCCCACATAGGTACAAAATGCGAAACCCATTTCTGTATCCCCGTTGTGATATAGCTTGGATATTGCCAAAGGGGGCGTAAAAAATATATCACTTACTTTTATGAAAAAACCCAATAATACCCAGCCATGTTCATGAAAATGTGCCAAGTACACGGCTTGTTCACTAATTCCAGAGGTTTTCAGGTGAACAACTGCCTTGCTTTTGCATGCCATCGGTTCCCCATTCCGCAGTTCGATGCTCGTGGTGTTGATCACTGAATTGTCTGGTCCAGACTCGATTATGTACAGACCGCCGCCATATAGCTAGAATATTGCTGAGTGTGGCGTAAAACTAAACTCACTCACTCACTCTTTGTGACAGTTTATATCTGTGGAACATCACGTGCTCCTGCCATTTACAAACGCATGTTCACGATATAGTCTGTCGTTTGGAAGAGAACTCTTCAAATAGATTTTGGTCTAGTTCACTTTCTAGAGTGTTGGGTGTTGACTACAATCGATTATGCTTTCAGTAGACAATTCTCATAGGTGTGGAAAGGGTTTTGTGGCTTTTATTTACCTATCGTTTAGGCTAATCTTGATTATTTCACATGGTGTAATTCATGCTTAACAGCCATCAGTTAGGCCATTGTTTACCATAGAGTTTCATATTACAACCTTTGGGTCGTGGCTGTAATCAGATCCACGTCTAACATCTCTTAACCCGTGGGGATCCGGGTTAGAATTGGTCTTCAGTAATCCTTGCTTGTTGTAAGAGGCGACTGCCGGGATCGGGTGGTCAGGCTCACTGACTTGGTGACATGTCATCGTATCCCAACTGCGTATATTGAGGCTCATGCTGTTGACGAATGGATTGTCTGGTCAAGACTTATTTATTTTCAGACCGTCGCCATACAGCTGGAATATTGCTGAATGCTTCGTTAAACATACCAACCAACCAACAATTATCTCATCGTCTGTCCATTGTTGGTCTAAACTGTACATATGTTTACGTATATTTTGTCAAGCATTGAAATACTTCTATTTGTTTGTCAAACACTTGTGTTGATTGAAACACTTGCATTTGTCAAGCGTTGAACTGCTTGAAACAGCGTTGCATTTTGTCAAGCGTTGAACCGCTTGTATTTGTTTAGCGTTGAAACACATGCATTTGTCAAGCGTTGAACCGCTTGTATTTGTTAAGCTTTGAATCCGCTTGTTTTGTTTTTCAAGAGTTGAAACACTAATGTCTTGTATTTGTCAAGCGTTGAAACACGTTTTGTCAAGCATTGAAACACTTGTTTTGTCAAGCATTGAAACACTTGTTTTGTCAAGCATTGAAACGCTTCTATTTGTCAAGTGTTGAACCGCTTGTATTTGTCAAGCATTGAAACACTTGTTTTTGTCAAGCGTTGAAACACCTGTTCTTGTCAATGTTACGTTGAAACATGTTTTTTATTTGCAATGTTGAACACTTACATTTATCAAACATTGTTGCGTAAATTGTATTTGTTTGTTCGTGTTGAAACACTGGTTTTCAAGCACTCAAATCATTGTTTTGTCAAATGTTGAAACACCTGTTTTTGTCAAGCTTTGAAACACTTGTTTTGTCAAGTGTTGAAACACTTGTTTTTGTTTTTTCGTCAAGCACTGAAAAACACGTTTTTGTCAAGCGTTGAAATACTTTTTGTGAAGCGTTGAAACACTTGTATTTGTCAAGCGTTGAAACGCTTGTATTTGCTAAGTGTTGAAACACTTCTTTTGTCAAGCACTGAAACACCTGTTTTGTCAAGCTTTGAATCACTTGTATTTGTCGAGCATTGAAACACTTGTTTTTTCAAGCGTTGAAACAGTTGTTTTGTGAAGCGCTGAAACACTTGTTTTGTCAAGTGTTGAAACAGTTGTTTTGTCAAGTTAAACCACTTGTATTTGTTTCGCATTAAAATGCTTGTTTTGAAACACGACAAGCATGGGTTACTGACGAATAATTCTAACCCGGATCTTCACGGGTCAAAATCCAGAAAGAACCTTATCAAGTCTGATTTTGGTATTTCAAATCATAATAATCAAACGAAACTATTTTGTCTAATGAAATCAGTCGTCCATTGGGCTGAATCTCTTCCCATTTCGTTGTTAACGATAAGATATGTTAGAAGCCTCTCTGTCGCGTATACGCCTGCCTCTGACACAGGTGCGGCTATAGTCGGTGTTGTGGTTTGATGTACTTCCTGGTCGACAGGTAGCACTTCCTGGTTGTAACCTGCTCGTGGTTGTGCCCTGTAATATGATATAGGCTAGTGACGTACTGCCCATTCGTCACTACTCGTCCTTTTCCGTAACCTGACAGAAGATCACTATTCGTTGAGACATACCATCGTATCTTCCAATTGTCGTAGATCGATCGGGTCTCATGCTGTTGATCACTGGATCGCCTGGTCGAGGCTCACTGTTGATCCATTCTGGGTCGTCTGGTCGAGACTCCCTTTCCGTAACCTGACAGAAGATCACTATTCGGCTTCGTTGAGACATTCCATCGTATCCCAATTGTTTGGATCGAGGCTCATGCTGTTGATCACTGGATCGCCTGGTCCATACATATTTACAGATCATCGTCATATAGCTAGAACATTGCTGAGTGTGGCGTTAAACAACAAACAAGCAATCAGTCTCAAAGTGTGGGATGACACCGGGAAAATGAATGGTAGTAAACTAAGAACTTATAGATGTTTTAAATAAGATCCTGTTGTTTGCCCTTATGTAAAACATGTTTGGAAAAGAGAAGAAAGGAGCATTCTCGCCAAGTTCCTGAGTGGTTATGTCCCTTTAGCTATAGAGACTGGCCGTTACTCCTGGCCTCCTATTCCGCTTGACAATAGAAATTGTAGATATTGCAATAATACAAATACCATTGAAGATGAACGACATTTTGGAGTAAATTGTGAATTCTATTCAGACCTTAAGTCTACCCTGTGGAATGAAGCAGAGCTAATAAACCCATCCTTTGTAGATTATAACGAAGAAATGAATTTTATTTTCTTGCTGCAGTGTGATATTTTACAGCCGCATCTACCAATGACACTAACAACAATGTTCAAGAGACGTCAAGCAGTCATATGAATACATGTATATGCCGCATATATATATATATATATATATATATATATATATATATATATATATATATATATATATGCCCTCTGTCCTTCCAATTTCTAATATATCTTTTTGTATTGTTTTAATGTGACAAGGTCTTTTATCGCTATTTATTGTTTTATATGTAAAAAGTGTCTCATAGGTCATGGGGCCGGACATCTGTTTACATTTTAATATACACTTTTGCTATGTACATTGTAATATGTTTTATATTCCGTTGGTTACAGATGCGTGACTCCAAATAACTAAATCTCTCTCTCCTCTTTCTCTCTCTCTCTCTCTCTCTCTCTCTCTCCCTCTCTCTCTCTCTCTCTCTCTCTCTCTCTCTGTATATCTATAAAGGTTCATGGTACTAAGTTTGAAAGGATAAATCAGAATTGCACTAGACTGGTTCTCGGTATATCTGCAGGCTTGCAAATAAAAATGAATGCCCACCCTGTAATATGATATGTCTTTGGACTTATGGCTGCGTGTGTAGAGTACAACAAAGCTATTTGTCACCAAGATCACTATGTGGCTTTTCCCAGAATAACAGGAAAATAACAGTTGGTCACGAAAGCACAGCATGCGTTTTCAAGACTAAGGGACACAGAGAACTATTTGAATATGTGCTGTTACGTAAGCGCGTTTTGCCTTATTAGTACGTGTTAATTACACGTGTACTGTAAGTTTTATGCAATGAAATTGGGTGAATATTGAAAGTCAACGCGAGAGAACGACCACTCTCGATTATCCGCCGATATATTTCCATATGACTGGATCACTGAAAATCTGCAATGACACCGGGTCTTTGCCAGAAGTGAGAGAGAGAGAGTGAGAGAGAGAGAGAGAGAGAGAGAGAGAGAGAGAGAGAGAGAGAGAGAGATCGATTGCTAAGAAAATCTCAAATTATGACGCCAAGATGCAACATAAATGCTAATGAGATAGAGATCACAACACACTATATTTATAAATAGGGACGTCAGAATCCACAATATCTATCATTTCAAACAATCACAGCAAAATAATACCTTTCAAAATTAGAGTTGTTCAAAACAGGTAAAGAAAGGAAGCTCAGATTATGACGCCAAGACACAACACAAATGTTCATGAGATAAAGATCACAACACACTATATTTATACATAGGACTTCAGAATTATCAACATATATGATTTCAAACAATCACAGCAAAATATACCTTTCAAAATTAGAGTTGTTCAACAAAATTAATTTCTACCTTGAACATCAGTCTGGTTCATAAAAGCACCGTGCTATTGTGGTTTAAGTCATGTTCACACAATCCAGTAAACTATTGTATTTTAGCAAACACGTGCATGTATATCTTCCAGGTGACAGTAAAGGTAGTGAGTGGTTGACGTCATCCTGAATTGTTCCATGTTGTATGTGTTGATTGTATCCCGTACGACTGTTGACACGTAACTTTAAGTAACAGTTGTTTAGCTGATTGTAAATTCAAGGCAGTTGGTTATTGGCAATTTTACATTCGATAAATAGAGAAGCGACAAAGCATGTCATGTCCCAACGATTCCACCTTCGTAAACTGTAAGCCAGTCACAGAGTTAGTTATCACAATCATGTTTGGTTCAATCCACACAAGGTAGCTGATGTTCCTTGTTGACATCAGTACGCCCATCGTCTAGTGGTAACATTCAATTGTGCGACATGGAATTCAATCCTGAATACAAAGTAAAGGTTCCTCTATGATTGAAGCGGTTATGTTTATGCCCATCATCTACTGGTAACACGGAAAGGTATCAACGTCAACTACAGTTGCGTGACATGGAATTCTGTCCTGAGCTCATTGTAAAGGTGCCTCTCTGATTATAGCAGTTATGTTTACGCCCTTTGCATACCGATAACATTCAAACGTACCGACGTCAACAACAGTTACCTGACATCGATCACCTCGGTGAGGGATCCGGCGGGTTTCTTTCTCCAGTACAAACCAAATACATGTTTTCCATCTGTCAGGGTAAGAAGTACGGTCCATTTGTGGATCTGTTATCCCACTCCAAACATGAAGTGAGTTGGCCTTCTTCTTTATTTCTTTCAAACTGTCAGCTGAACTACCCTGTTCCACCTCAACAACACGTCGACTGAATCCTGTTTGAGCATTTTTGATATACCCCTTGTATTTTCCAGTAAATGTCTGATTTTTTAAAACTTTGTATATGTCGAGAATTTGATATTCCAATTCGATGCTCGTCATGGTGTACTGGTCGGCACACAACATGCAACCACGTCATACCAGTCAGGGACAACTGCGCAAATAGTTGGAACAAGTCGTGTCGCTATATCTGGTGGTGTCCACGTAAGGTCTAACTATAGCCAAGATATTTTTTATTTCACGCAGCCAACTGTCCAAACACTCATGAAACCACTTGAGGAATAGGATATTTATGTCCTTCACCACTGCGCTCTGAACATGTCCTAGTGTGTGGATTATAGCGCATGTCCATTGTGTTTTCCTATTATATATAAAGATTACAGCACGAGTATCTGACAGACACGAATTCATTAATCTGTTTCTTACACAACATAAAATCTTTAGGATCGAATAGATTAATTACATTTTCTTATCACAGTGGCGCATTAATACACAATATAACTTTCAAGAATGAGTGACGTCACCCGGCTTACCTATCACTGCTCACACTTCATGTGACAAAAGCCGTAATGTTTACCCCTATTTTACAGTTCATGAATTCTGGACAGGGGCCTACACGAAAAGGATGCAGATGTATCTGACATCTTCCTCATTTTATGGGGATGAGGTGTTCGTATCTACCCTCTACAAGACACCAGATGTCGAGAGAGCCGTCAGTATTTGTTGCTGAAGGTTTGATTTCGTTGACAGTTATCGATTAGCCTAAGCAGACTGTTCAAACCGACATTTTGGAACTTGGTGAATATTTATACGGTTATTGTAATTATAAGGAGGTGTGCATAACTCGCACGTTTGATATGTGTGTACCCTGACGAGATGACACATGCACATATGAACATATACCAAATTTGAAACGTCTATTATCAACCAGCTGGTTTTCAAAACAAATGCGAGTATGATTTAATTTTGAACGGGGTCTATGTTTGCTCGGAATGCGACATGCTTATTTATCAGTTCGCCGCTATATCGGTATTCATAGAAGGATCACGTTTCGCTCCATGGAAACGCAGTGATTTAGAGCTGACCCTTTCATCCTTTGCCCTTGTTGATAAATCTCCAAGTGTTTCGTGATATCAGCGATCGTGCTAAGTTGTACAAATAAATAATTGTGTAGATAAGGGCACATGGGTGACTTTCCCGACTCAGTTACAACAGAAGGCTCGGCACAAAAATAAACAAAGATTACGACTACTTCTATTTTAGAGAGGGCGATGGGGTAGTCTAGTGGTTAAATCATTCGCTTGTCACGCTGAAGATTAGGTTTATAGCACCAAGACAATGGCTCCTGGGTTTCAGCAGTGTGGGAAACGTCCGTGACCTTCCTGATTTTGGACTTGACTTGTCAAGCTGACACGTGGTTTAACTGGAATATTGTGTACAGCGGTGTTAACTCATTCACTAAATAGTTTATGTATTACCATGTGCACATGAGAATCATCCAGTAGAACAGCACTGATGGTAAAGGACTCTTGTCATTCTGGATGTGTTGATCGATGGCTAGCCTAATGGTTAAAGCGTTGGCTCGTCACGCCGAAGACTCGGGTTCAAATCCCCACATGGGTACAATGTGTGAAGCCCAATTCTGGTGTCCCCCGCCGTGATGTTGCTTGAATATTGCTAAAAGCGGCGTAAAACCAAACTCAGTCAGTCAGTCAGTCCTGGAAATCGGACGAATCCTGCCGCTGTGTTGACGAGAATCACAGAAATCACAGGTGTAGAATCCTACCATCCTGCTGCTGTGTTGACAAGAGTCACATAATACGCCAGGTGTAGAATCCTACCATCCTGCTGCTGTGTTGACAAGAGTCACAGAAATCACAGGTGTAGAATCCTACCATCCTGATGCTGTGTTGACAAGAGTCACATAATACGCCAGGTGTAGAATCCTACCATCCTGATGCTGTGTTGACAAGAGTCACAGAACACGCCAGGTGTAGAATCCTACAATCCTGCTGCTGTGTTGACAAGAGTCACATAATACGCCAGGTGTAGAATCCTACCATCGTGATGCTGTGTTGACAAGAGTCACATAATACGCCAGGTGTAGAATCCTACCATCCTGCCGCTGTGTTGACAAGAGTCACATAATACGCCAGGTGTAGAATCCTACCATCCTGCCGCTGTGTTGACAAGAGTCACATAATACGCCAGGTGTAGAATCCTACCATCCTGCTGCTGTGTTGACAAGAGTCACAGAAATCACAGGTGTAGAATCCTACCATCCTTCTGCTGTGTTGACAAGAGTCACAGAATACGCCAGGTGTAGAATCCTACCGTGAACGTCATTGGATTATGGCCGTTATGTTCACCCCAATCTCCCACTTGGAATATCCAGAACTGGGGAATACATCAACATTAACCACAGTTACCTGACCTCTTTTACGTGGGGAGGGCATCAGGTATTCATCTTCCACAAGACACCAGATGCATGTTTTCCATGTATCATAATACTGAACCCATGGGTCGTCAATATCCGGATCTGTTATAAGAATTTATCTAGTTATTTTACTGTCCTTCGTTGACAGTTTAAAAACAAATTTAACTGCATATATTATGAATTTGTAATTTGTTAAAGTCACGATGTGGCTGAAATATTGCCAATGTGGCCATAAATCTTAACTCACTCACTCACCCTAAGAATTGACATGAAACAAGCGCTGTCCACTATGAGGGGATGAGGTGTTCATCTTCGACAAGACACCAGATGCATGTTTTCCATGTGTCATAATACAGACCCCATGTGTCATCAATATCTGGATCTGTTACCCCGCTCCACACCTTCCGCCAGATGGCTTCCCGCTTAATCTGTTTCAAGCATTCCGTTATATTATATTGATCCACCTCAACAACATGTCGATTTAATCCTGTTCAAACATTTTCAATACGCCCCTTGTACACTCCAGTAAATGTTTGATTTGCCATCAATATGTACATGGCGAGAAAATGTTCTTCAAAAAAGACATGCTTTTCATGGTGTTCTGAACGGACCACAGCATATAACCAAGTCCAATCTGTCAGGGACAACTGCGCAAAAGAAAGGAATTGCACCAAGGCCTATCGCAGTCATGTAAGGTCTGAATATAGCCAAGGTAGGCAAACAACACAACTACGTTATCTGTACGTCAATACCAAGGCAGGTGTATCTAGGGGTGAAAATATGCATGTGCATGGGTATATATAGATATAACACGATTACATCATGGATATGATTCATTATTTGATTGTTGTTTAACGCCGCACTCAGCCATATTACTGCTGTCTGTTCGAGTCTGAACCAGACAATCCAGGTGAGCTTAGAATCCATCACTGTACCAATATACTTATATTCCTCAACTCATACTATGATTTCGTTATCAGTGGCAATTGGCAACATCTTAGGTTTACTTTATCTGATTCTCTATTTACCAAGGACATCCGGCAAGGGCAATCAAGTGATCAACGAGCATCGATCTACGCAATTGGGATATGATGACATGTGTCAACCGATCCCGTTAATCGTCTCTTACAACAAGCATGAGTTGCTGAAGATTTGCTCTAACCCAGCTTAATTTCGTTGACAGTTATCCACTAATCTAAGCAGACTGTTAAAAACACATGCTGGAGCCTTGTGAATATTTTATACAGTTATTGTAATTATAAGGATTTGCGCATAATTTGCACGTTTAATATGTTTGTATTATGCGGAGATGACACGTGCACCTATGAACATAATCCCAACTTTGTAACGTCTTTAATCAAACAGCTGGTTATCTAACAACACATTTTCAAACAAATGGGACTATGATTTAGTTGTGAACTGGGTATATGTTAGCTCAGTTTGTCACTTGAATGTAACATGTTTATTTATCAGTTCGCTGCTATATCGGTATTTATAATAGAATCACGTTTGACTAGATAGGAACGTGGTAACTTAGAGCTGACCCTTCCACCCTTTGCCCTGGTTGATAAAACCCCAAGTGTTTCGCGACGTCAGCGATCATGCTGTTTTGTGCAAATGAAAGATCTATGGTTAGAAACGGCTGTACGGTTGACCTTCCCGTCTCAGTTGCAGAAGAAGAATCAGCACAAAATTAATAAAGATTATGAGTATTTTTTGCAGTGGGCGGCAGGGAAGTCCAGTGGTTCGCTTGTCAATGTACAATGTGTAAAACCCATTTCTGGTGTCCCTCGCCGTGATATTGCTGGAATATTGCTAAAAGCGACGTAAACCCATACTCAGTCAATCTTGTCTAGAGCAAGCATAGGATGTAGATTTTTACATGGTTATCAAGCTAAAAGTGACTACAGCCAAGTGGTCAGAGTTATATATATAACTAGATATAATGTCACCGATTTTCACAACAAAGCCGTTCACAAACATCCCACGATCCTGTTTGCACCGCCACACGTAAACATGGGAATCATCCAGTAGAACAGCACTGATGGTAAGAGACTCTTGTCATTCTGGATGTAGCCCACTCGAAGTGTATCCCACACAACTGATGAAGTGATAACTGACAGTTAGTTTGGTAGTTTGTTAGCTCACTGCAGCTTGGTAATACTTAACGCAGGGTATGCTGAACGATCCGACTATACGCATATATTTGTGAATCACTATCAAATAGTATGATACCAGGTGCTCCTACAAATGTGACGCACCCTGCAGCAGTGTTAACAGGAATCATAGAAGTCACAGCTGTAGAACCAATCCGATTGCAGCATGAATCACTACCAAATAGTATGATACCAGGTGTTCCTGAAAATGTGACGAATCCTGCTACAGTGTTGACAGTGTCGTTATATTGCTGGAATATTGCCAAAAGCGGCGTAAAATCATACTCACTCACCCAGTACGCCCATTTGAACCCTCCTCTGATAGTTTATTTTAGCAATCATTTTGCATTATCATAAACTAACAGACATTTTATAACACCCCATTTCATCTTTAGATTTCCTATGTCAGTCCTTAATTAATTATAAAAAACAAGGACATTTCGAGTCATGTGGCAGAGTGTAGAAGGATAACATTCATTTTCTGTCAAACCATGAAGCTGTGCCATATTTTCCCACGTCAAGACCAATTTCGATCATATCCAGACCGCTATCAAATAGCTGGAATATTGCTGAGTGCTGCGTTAAACGACAAATAAACAAACAAGAAAACTATCAAATTGG